ACGCCGACGTCTTGCTCACCGCCATGACCACCGAGTCGAGCGCCTGCTTCTGCGGGGGGGCCACGGGCTTGAACTTGTCCAGCATTTAGACGGGTCCCGGAGGGGTTGGAGGGGGCTGCTGTTCAATCAACGGGCGGGTAGGCTCCGCGTAAGTCGGGGTAGTGAATGAATCCCACGGCTGGTTCCTACTCATTCGAAACACTTCTTTCTCAACGAGCCCACGCCACAGTCCGCGGAGTTCGAAGTTCCAGCAATCGTCGTCCCGAAGCTTGAATGAGTCGTCGTCCTTGTTACCTCGTCCCTCTTCTGTCTCACTGAACCCCGGAGCTCGGCGCCAAGCTCCTGAATGGCGGCGGCGGAGGTAGGGGAGGGTGAAGAGGGCGTGGCATGGGATCGGCTTTCCAATCGCCAGCCAATCGCAACAGGCCCGAGTGGCGGTTGTCCTAGCAACGGGGGCCGGAAGGCGCGAACCGCCCACCTTTCCTTCCTCCCCCAACCCCTCTCTGTGTGGATGAATTGGTAATGAGTTTGTCATTCACAAAAAAAAAAAGAGGAATTTCCGCTCCGGATCAAGTGAGTTCAAACACGATGAAGAACTGCGGAAGGAAGGAGGGAGGGAGGGAGGACAAGGAGAGGAAGAGGGGAGTCGGCTTTCACATGCTGCACCGACACAGTCCCATTACTCAAGTGTGTTGTTGTTACAATACAAGTAAAAGTCAACACATATCGCAGTCAAACCGACAAATCTATAAACTATACATCTACGCAACCAAATTAGAATGGATTAATATACGAATAAAATATCCATCTGGAAAATTTGACATTTTCTTTTCAAAAAATGTTTCCTCATTGATTATAAGGTTATTCGTCTTGACTGACAGGTTTTGAAATGCATCATCAAAGTATTTTGTTCACAAATATTTGTCACATAGCTAACTAATTTTTAACTGTACGACAAACACAATGTTTATCCGCAAGTCCTTAGTTGTGGGGACTTTTTGCTTTTAATTCCTATTTTTGAGTATTTCTAGTTGAAGTGCCCCTCCATGATGTGGTTTCTCATTCAGACACCTGCGATATTGCGTGTTTTTTAAAGTCAGTTATGCACCTTTCAGGCGTTTCCTGAATGCCGGGGAAACGAGCACACTCAAAGTCACTGCTGTGGGCCACGGCTCATGCCTCGAGACTCAAATGCAGTCTGACTCCACGTTTTCCCACCAGGCCCCGCCTCTTAAAGGCTTGTGTACTCGCACAGACACCACACTACATACATTATTCTTGACATTTTATGCTTGCAATTTTTGTTATGTTGAAATGTGTTTAAAATGCCTTTTAATAAATGCGTTGAAAGTTTAAACTTTTTTTTTTTTTTTTTTACACGGTCAGATTTTCACCTCCTGTGAGTGGGTCTGGAACATCCGGTGTCCCTTGCAAATAAACGGAGGTTGCCTCTACTACCCCCTGCTGGTAGGGGGTGCTTTTTGGGCCCCAGAACTACATTTGATGACATTAGCATGGCACTTCCTGGTGGAAAGTGGCTCCGTGGCCTCCAAATGTAGTCGCAGAGGTCCTGCTCTATTTCTGAAGTAACAAGCATGCCCCCACGGAGGGGGTCCAACATGGGGCTGGGAACAAAAGCGTGTGTGTGTGTGTGTGTGTGTGTGTGTGTGTGTGTGTGTGTGTGAGTGCGTGTGAGCATATACGTGTGAAGGAGCTCCAGCTTGAACGTGGGGCCCTTGTTAACCCCTCCGGTTCCCAGTCGCCCCCCCCTCCTCCATGCAGTGAATGGAGCCAAGCTGTTTGCATTCACCTTTCAATCTATTGTACTCTTTTGCTGCTGCCGCTCCTTGCCGTCTGGTAGACTTTCACTTCCACTGCATTTGAAGAATATTGGGGAGATTTTTGATCCGGACGTTGTTTTGGAACAGAACTGAACCAATAGAGGAGTTTCAATTTCAACAGTCTTGATTTGATGTCCAAATTGAAATCCTGTGGTACTCCGACATGAGAAATGATGACAAAAACTACCCCATGGGAATCCGTAACGTTTTGCACCTCAGTTCTTGTTTACCTGTTAGCTTGCTTCGTGAATCTTTGTCCCTTTGTTTGCAAATGAGCCTTTGTGAACAAAATACCATTGGCTTACATCTTACTCTTTGTGAACCTTCTCGTCTTTGCTTACACGTTAACGTTTCGCGTACATTTGAAAAAGCACTTTCTCCTTGTTTGTGTGTTTCCACATTAGCTGGGCAAATGGTCCAAGGTCTGGGGGGGGCGGGGACGACTTCCGAGTCAAAAAAATAGGACAGAGAGCAACAACATTCATGTGACTCTTGTTCCAACTCGCATCACAAAAACACACACACGGCAACCTGATTAGCGTGTGTATCTTTTGTGCGAGGACAAAGGACTTCCCCGTCTGAGACGAGCAGCCGGTGGCAGAGACGCGAGGGATGAGGACGAGATAAGGTGCCAACAGAGAAGAAAAGAGGGCGGTGTGTGTGTGTGTGTGTGTGTGTGTGTGTGTGTGTGTGTGTGTGAGTGTGTGTCTTATGTTCACACACACGCACGCAGGAAACGGCATCCTGGAAACAGGAAGTCTCTGTGTCACATGACACAGGAGGCAAAGACAGACAAGAGAGCCGTCGTCAGCGAAACGGGACGGCGGCAGAGTTCTGAACTTCCTGTCCTTCCGCCCACGCCGCCACGGTACAGATAACGTGCGCGTGTGTGTATATTTTGCGATAACAACTTTCAACGCAAACACATCCGCCAGCATGTCATCAGCATGCCGATAAGACAAAAGTGATGGAATTTTAACGATAGCATCAGGTAGCTGGGATTCAACGTACAAAAAAAAAAAAAGTCAAGATTGTTGCCAATCATGATTGTGCTACAAGAGGAACACTACTTTTGAAATCAGAGGTAGATGTGATCAAAGGTAATAAAAAAATAATAATAATTTTGTGCGTGGCAATGATTCCCAAGCATTCTTCCCAACATTCAAGGACAAGTGCGTTATCGAAAGACTTTACACCGGCTCCCAATCAGCTGTAGAGTAGGTTTTAAAACTTGGCTACTGGTCTATAAATCCCTGAAAGTCCCTGAATACGTGAAAAGAAATGCTCATGAAATATAAATCCAGTCGGGATATGAGGTCCAAAGAAAACATGGTGCATCAGCATTTAGTTGTGATGCTGCAACGAATTGTAAAAAGATGACTACGGTACTGAACTTGGCTCCAAGAGTAAAAACTTTTAAATCCGGGTTAAAAATTATTATTATCCAACAAGGACAGACCCCACATTGTGGAGCAAACATATTTCAGAGTTGACTAGAACGCCAATCGTTCAACGACGCGGGGGCTCCATGTCACACAAGCTATCAGTACATATCATAAATACATAGCGTAGCTCCCACACGGCGGCACACATCATTGAACTGTTAATCGTATCTTAAAATACCGCAGACTGGGTGGAACAAATAAGTAGCGTAGCTTCACATGACGTAAACATGATGCACACATTAGTGTGGGGGGGGGGGGCACATCAAAGCGAGCCCAGCCCTCACCATGCTCCGGACTTGTGCCTCCGTCGGGTGTCAAAAATGTTAGCAAAAGGCTGAAGGGGGTCCGTTAGGTTTTTTTTTGTTTAGCTTTGACCCCAATTAGCCATCTTTGCTTTTGCCGCGGACCACCCAGGAAACATCAGCGGGACATTCAGGAGATGTGAGGGCCTGAGCTGCTACAAAGATGGGGGTGTTAGACGCCCTCCTGGGACAGGAGTTATTGTGGAGTTCTTTTTTTAATTGGCTCTGCCGATGAGAGAGCGCACATGAAGCTTAATTGCTACCAAAGATAAATTCCAAAAGTCTTCAGGTCCACGCGAAGAGGTTGGCACTTTGCACTTTTAGACTTTGCACTTTTCTGTGTACTGAATGTTTATCAGCCCCCCCCAATACATTTAAAACGGGATCACTTTTTGCAAAGTTTGGGGCCGGGCAGGTAGGTCCCGATTACGGTTGAATTTCAGGGGAACGGTTGAGGAACATCATCCAATTTACAGCTTCGCACAACATAGGGTGAAGCAGTTGATACTTTGTGTTACTTTAACCCTTTCATGCACCCTGTAGCCTGATAGCATGATAAGCCGTCCACTGTCGTAAAGCGCTGTCCCCAAAAGGGTTCAGAATAAAACATTCGGAGGTGAATTTCCTACAG